CTTCCAGGCCTGGGCACAATTCTTTCCCCTGGTACTGCTCTTGTTCCCGCTCAGGTGATAGCTAGGGGATTCTTCATGATGGCTCCTCTCTGTTCTGTTCCACCCCTTTACAAATCTTTTGCATAAGGCGGGAACCCTTTGTCCCTCTGGGTTCCCCCCCTCACTGGAAAAGCACCAGGTTAAAGATGGATTCCAGTTCAGGTGATGTGATCACATGTCACTGCAAGACTTCATTACCCACTTGCCAGTACACAGGTATACAGGAAAACTCACAGGTAAAACACAGCCATCTGCAGACAATGGTCCCGGTTAATGGGAGTCATCAAGATTCCAAACCACCATTAATGGCCCACACTTTGCATAATTACAATAGGCCCTCAGAGTTATATTTTATATTCCTAGTTTCAGATTATAAGAGTGGTACATTTATACAAATAGAATGATCACACTCAGTAGATTATAAACTTTGTAATGATACCTTACAAGAGACCTTTTGCATGAAGCATATCCCAATTGCATTATATTCACTAATTATATTTTTATAAAACCATATAGACTGCACAACGTCACAGGTTGGCTATGTAAATCATCCAATCAGGGATGCGCAACAAGACCACATGACTCCAAACTCACCAACACAGCATGAATGGCAAATATTTGCAGTTTGTGAACCATCTGCAAACCAAGTATTATTGACCGAATAAATGTGTGAGTAATTTTGAATAATGAATAACTTTCATAATTTGGCAATGAGTTCATGAACATGTCACAAACAGTAAAAAAGGAGAAATTCATGGCATAAATGGTTTGCTATTAATTATTCACTTAGTTGCAACATATGCCTCTCTCCCATGGGAGTTCTGAGGGTTATTTAGTTAACGTGTGGTACAAAGCTTTGAAAATGTAAAGCTCTAGCCAAATGCTAAGACTTGTTAGTACATGAACTGGGATTTTTAGCTCCCTCTGTGAATTTTCTGGCTTGTGTGGATTTTGTCAGATCCTTAGGGTCATATTTTCAGAAATGGCCACAACATTTGCACCTACAATTATCTGCATATGCAAATCCCCCAGTATTCTGTGCCAATGTCATTTGCACCTGCCAGTCAGGTACACCTTTCACTCTCGGGGTTTTGCGCGCAAGTTTGAGCTTGCAGTTGAAGCTCTGAGGGCCTCCAGGCACAAATTATTGAGGGTGCAAATTATGTTTGGATACATAATTTCATAGTTTTTGAGACCAGAAGGGATCACTGTCATCACCTAGTCTGATCTCCTGTGTAAAACCGGCCATATCATTGCTTCCAGTAATTCCTATAGTGGAGGGAATGATTTTTTCCAGCTGTGTAAGTGAATGCTACCTAGCCCAATAACTTGTGGCTGAATTAGAGCATATCTTTTAGAAGAACCCAATCTCGATGTAAAGACACTAAGTGATGATGAGTTTACCATTTCCCTTGACAAGCTGTTGCAGCGGCAGTTCACACTCACTATTTAAAAGTGAGGGTATAGATCCCATGGAAACTGTGGTCTTCAGTATCATTGCTATGTCTCTCTTGTCATCGCTGAAAATGAAAAACTCCTTTCTGCTCTATGGGGCACTTCACAGCTTCCACAGCAGCCGGTCTAGTGAGTAAATACAGAATAACAGACTTTCCTAACCACACTATTTACTTGGTTCTTTGCAATGGCTCTGAATGAGCCATTAAAGACTGTTCTGTAAATATAGGATTATGGGCTCTTTAAACATATGCTATTCACTTGCTATGCCTTCATGGGGATCTCTTCCTAGCAGTCTCCTACTGACAGACTCTTCGTTAATTCATCTTTCATTTGCAAGACAGCCATGACTCTCAGATCATTGTTTTGCAGTCCATTCAGACAACATGGATGCTGTTAACCTGATAGAGCAGCCTGCTTGGTTTTTCACAGAGTAGTTGTAGTCGGCATGATCACATCATGATACTCGAAATTTTGCATTTTTGCCTCATATTGATACAACTTAATGAGGGTCGGAGAGCTGGTATATATGTGGGAGTCTTTAGCTGTCTTGCACTGTTTCCTCATAAAACCTGAGATGGATTCTTCCTCTCCTTTAAGTGTTTAAGTCCTAATCCAAACACAATTGGTATCTTCCCCAGGACATTACAGCAGGTGCCGGTTCCGCTATGAGGCAATGCTTTTCTGTGGGCTGGTTCTTCAATAATGTTGATAATTAATGCAGCTCGGCATCCTGGAGCAAAGTCTTGGGAATCCAATCTATAATCTCCCACCACTTAGTGTTTCTTATTAAGCCTGCTGGTATTCAAAGAGATGGATGCAAACCGGGGCTCTGAAACCTGGCTGCGAGGGGGGGGGGGGTTCTAGGAGCCAGCCACCAGCCCAAGAGGGAAGATCTACACTACTATTTTTAGCCCTGTAGCCCAAGCCCTGGGAGCCCAAGTCAATTGACCCGGGCTCTGAGGTTCGGCACTACAGGTTTTTCTTTGTAGTTTACGCATACACGTACCCAAAGAGGCCAGCTTCCTTTATGACTGTAATTTACCTCTGAGCCACAAGGGGATCCGAGGTTATAGACAACTTTGCTAGATGGAAGCAATTAATAATCCCACATCCTTTCAAATTTCCTCCTTAATTAAAGTTTTTATGTCCCTTATTTTGTATCCTTGACAGATGTTTTAAGGCTATTGTCCCATATTTGTGCTTGGCAGATTTTCTTGCTGACCTGAGATCTCTGTGGGACTGAAACATATCTGTGAATGGGCTCAGAAAGTATTATTAATATGCTTAGTAGAGAAGTAGGGCCGTATCTACTCATGATTCTTGTTGCCTGACCCTTTTTAAGGTTGATAATGTTAGAATAATGACCAATTGATCTGACTGCAGTAAGGTTCTTCTCCCAGAATCAGGGTGCACAGAATTCACCTTCTGGAGTTCAATATCTTATGGGGATATCTCGGGGTGGATAACAAGGACACTCACATTGAGGACAAAGTAAAACCTTAGATGCCTTTATTAAAATAATGGAGACAGCTAGAAAAGATCCAAGCCACGTAACAAGATAAAGATAATATAGGATCTGTGGTATCATACTATGCATAAGCTTTTAGAATTTCATACTCACACCCTTAGTTGAGGACCTGGTGGTAAGAGACAAAAGGACCAGTCCTGCCTCTAGCATGCAATGCCTGATGGTCCAAGTTTCCAATGAGTTGAAGGGTCAAGTAGAAAAGAAACAGACAGCAATGGAAGAGGCCCAGGAAAGAACAGCCCCAGGCCACATGGTGACTGTCCTGTTACAGGGTCTGAGCATCATCTGCTCATGCTCAGTCCTCCATGCCCATTACTATGCCCATATTTAGCCTTTTCACCAATATAATACTGAGGTGTACTTATTCTATAGGTTAACATATTGACATGAGTAACTACCTTTTCAGCGCAGGATCATGCCATCACCCCTTGCTTAAGCGGATTTGCGGTTATTCCTTCCAGATTCCTTGTGGTCGCACTGACTGGAACATTCTAACTCCTACCATTGAGCAAGCTCTTCTTAGTTCCCAAAATCTAAAGGTAACCCTTGATCTGTGCCTGGTTTATGGCCTACTTAACCACACTTATGCTAACTTATGCTCCAGCTAATATCTTACAGGATACAGGCCTGTAGGTTTCTTGCATTACAGCCAGATATGATAAAAGGCCACGCTCTCTAATCCTTGCTGGTGGAGTGCGGATCTTTCTCCCACTCTAGTGCCTGGAAAAATCTGTGGAGGTTTGAGTATGA